CGTACTCACATTTTGATGCAAAATCACACATTGACGGTTACTATTATTATTATTATTACTATTATTATTAATGAAATCGTGCATATTAGCAACTAGACTTGTGCGGTCCCAAGTTTAGTATAATAACAACGCCGCACTCAGCAATATTCCAGCTATATGACAGTGTTCTGTAAGTTATCGAGTCTGGACCAGACAATCCAGTGATTGACATCAGAAACATCGATTCAAACAATTGGGATACGATGACATCCATCAGCGAGCCTGACCACCCGATCCCGTTAGTCGGCTACTACGGCAAGCATCGGTTACTGAAGATCTATTCTACCCCGCATCTTAACGGGTCATAAGAGATATCTGCTTTTGCCGGGTCCATTGTACGATTCCGACCATATCCCGAGCATGTGTTTATCAATCACTATCAAATAGTGATGATACCAGGTGTTCGTGAAAAAGTGAGCTCATCCTGCCCCACCGGTTGCACCGTCACAAACACATGCAAAGGCAAGTAAATCTTTCACCTGAAAGAACACGGGACACTTGTTCAAGTCAAAACAGGAAATTCCATTGAACATCATGTTTGTCACTATCGCGTCACATTTAAAAACATACTCCGAATGTCTACCATAAAACGTTTTGAAAGTTTTGCCGAGACATTGAATGTTGTAATCTTGATCAAACAACTTTTGATAATTTTACCTTAAGCAACCTTAAACAAGGACACAAAAAACATGTTATAAAAAAACCTTTGAAACATACACAATGTTATAAAAAGTGCATAACGTTATGCCTCCTGATTGGGAAAAGAAAAATAGATACCACGGGTTATTCGCCAACACCAAAATTGATAGCGGAAGTAAAGTTAAACAATTAAACCACATCGATGAAGACAATTACAGCCAATTCACTGCATTATTAGATGGAAACCATGTAGTGTACAGCCAATAGAGAGAGAGATTAAAAAGAAGGAATAAAAATACTTCAAAGCAGATAAATAAATCGTTAACAGCACTTGCGACTTTAAAAATCTGAAATTATTAATCAATTCTGTTGCCAGCTATAAACCATAAACCATAAATGCATTACTGTTTTGTATTTCACCACATAAACTCGGCTGTGTATAGAAAATGACCCTAACTGGATGTAAATACAGTAAACTACGGTTATAACGAACTGATGAATATAACGAACTTACTTTTTAGTCCCGATTATTTGCTGTAGTTATGCTGTATATATGCTTATGACGAATTACGGTTATAACGAACTAAAATTTGTGGTCCCTTTGAGTTCGTTACACCCGTAGTTTACTGTATATACATATAACGATGCAGTTATTCATAAATGTGTAACATCAATCATCAATATATTTCCCAATTTGACATTACTATTTACTAATGAACAATGTAACTGAAGATGGAGAGTTGAGCTGAAAAACGGACAAACTTTGGTTTTTCAAAATATTAAAGAACTTAAACCGTTTTAAGAGTAACCAACTTTCGAAGGGAGAGAACTGCAGTGAGATGGTTTGTCAATTCTCACAGCGCCCAAGACAGCTTACCATTTATCATTAAAGACCATTGGGATTCCCTCATTTAAATATTTCATTAATGTCTTTTCAATGATATTTGTCCATCATTCCATGGAGATATATGTTAAGAGAGCGTTATTTTCCCATAAATTGACCTCAACATGGAATTCTTAGCATTGAGGCCAGGTGCCAGCATCCACTTGATTAACGTTCGGGAAGAATAATATAGCACACGTGGTTGCGTCAAATGAGGCTGTTTTTGTGAACGTACTTCACATAGCTTCATTATTGATGTTCGGAAGGCCTGCGGTTGGCTGTGCATGTCAAAGTCGCATTGTGAACGTATATGGCCTTGGTTGATGGCATCAGTGTTATTTGTTTGTTTGTTGTAACAGTATAACAGCTTCTTGACAGAAACAGAAAACATTTTGTTTTCTCTAAAGCACCGGCGGTGGTACAAAAGAGTACAAAAAGAATAAGCATACACATATTATAAGTTGTAGCAGGATCACGAGGCGTTGACGTGTGACTTTTTTTATTTGAAGCGGGGAATGAAGGATTTATTCTGCCTCTCAGAAATCTACGTGCAGCCTGACTTGCTCGTGGCGGGATATAAGGGATTTATTCCCCCGTTGAGAAATGTATTCCTCTCCAAAGCGGTATACACATGGCACAATGGGTTTTATGCGTCCCGAGTTAGGTTTATATCACGAGCAAGTCAGGCTGCACGTGGATTTCTGAGAGGCAGAATATAAACCGGATAATAAAACCTAACAACTTGATGACGAGGTAAATTGGTCGACGTTATTTTTGAGAGGGAAGTGACTGGTGAGTTGTTTCCCTTAGATACAGCTGGGCAACGCAGATAAACGCAATAGCCGAAGGGTCGCATCGGAAAGTTGGTATGACCATTCGTACTGTGAGAAAAGGTATATTTAATCGCCCTGACAATTGTGAAATCCGAGGAAATACCAAACTAAACTCCCGTGTTCATAAAATGGACTTGTCCGAAATTGCCGAGATCAAATTGTATTCAGGGAGTCATCATCATTTAAAGACGAGTAAATATTTTCAAAGCTTGTACATTTTATTAACATTAAAGTGGCTTTGCATGTTGTTGATATCTCATATAAGAAATGACCGCCTCCTTGGTCTAGTGGTATATCGTCCGCCCGGAGAGCGGAAGGTCCGCGGCCGCGTCATACCAACAGACGTTAGAAGATGGTACTTGTTGTTACCCTGTCTGGCGCTCGGCATTAATGAGCTAAAAGATGGACCGGTCGGCTCGGAGTCAGTATACTGTATCTGAGTGGGGTATCCATGTTAAACTACGACATGATATCTCAGTGAGTTAGCACTATAAATCGGCATCAGTCCGGACTAGTACAAGCACACGCACACACACGCACACACACGACGTCTTGGACGCGACGTTAAACCCAATTTTACCTCACGTTTCATATAAGAAATACACGACTCGCTGCGCCCCTCGTGGTTTATTATCTGTGTAGTCTTATATTGTACGATAAACAACGACCACGAGTGCTGTGTTTCTTAAATATAGAAATTGTTACACTCGCACGTGCGTCAAACTGATTTTACGAACTTCGCGTAAGGATTCATATACTAGTATTACCCTCCTTGCGCGCGGGAAATACACGAATTCTTACACTAGTTTCGTAAAATCTGCGTGACACACATGCACGCTTAATTTTTCTCTAAATAATTGCAATGAATAATATCCATAATTAAAAGCGACGAAAACAGTTCCATAATCATAAATAAAAAGCGACAAAAAAACATTTCCACGATCATAAAAAATTCCAACTAATCTGACGGCCAAAAGTAACTTTACCACTTTAAAAATGAAATTGCAAAAATATAAAAAAAACAAAATCAAACTAAATCAATGAAAAACATATCGTTCGAACATAACAATACCCAAAGCAGGAAGTGATACACGCCCACGGCACGTTTTCTTGTAGAAAATGCGAAAAAGTGATAAACATGTACCACTTTGGCAGCCGAAACTACGCGTGCAATTATATAAATGATAGAGGCAGCATGACAGACACTCACACTGATTAAAAAAAACAACCACAGAAATGTCACGACTGCCACCCGACACTAGACACCACTAGACACCACTAGACACCGGTATGATACAGAAGTGAGCCATGTGCAAGAATTGGACTCATGTCGCCTTCTGTGCCTCCTGTTCAACGGAGCGTGCAATATACATGGATGATAGCAAAGAAGGACAAGATTCTTTTTTTTTCTTTTTTAAAATACAATAGAGAGGAGATACAGTATCTCCCAGCCTATATGTGTATTCTACTTACTGTAAGCTTTCTAAAGAATCATTCTATATATTTTTAACTTGGACGGAAAGGGCTTCCATCTTGAAACGAATGTAGCGGGTTGTTATGCTTTGCGGTAACCATAATAAAAGAAGAATTGTCAGATTTATCACAAAGTTTGACATTGTATATCTTGTTAAGTATAATACATAGATTCACTCCGCGTATATCTACTTATGCATCAAACCTTTCATAGAAACTATTCCAAAACTTAGCAAAAATATGGATGTTAAGTTTCTTCCTCAAAAGCTTAAATATTATATACATTTATAGAGAATGCTATATTTTCCAGTTAGTTATGGCACCGGCTGGTTATCTCCCTTAGACCTGGGCACCAGGGGTAAATAGAGGTCACATATATATGTCTGTCCTTAGGTGGTTCGTATCATGAGTGTACTCTCTGTGTTTAAATATTTGTCGTTATGGTGCAATTCTATTCAAAATTCCCTAGTTTAATTATTGAAAAGTATATATACAATTACAGACAGACCGGGCAGACCTCAGACAGGCCAAGAACAGGAAGACCCAGGGTAACTACGCGCAATGGAGACCGCTTCTCCATGACATAAATGAGATACAGAAGAGGCGTTAACCAAAACTTGCTCACCCATTCATTCCCCACCCCACCCTAAGGTGGAACAATATTTAACCAAAGCTAATTTTGTAAGGCGATGTAAAAGGTCGTACGCATATTGTAAAATATTAATTTTGGTTTAGTATTTTCACCAGGAGGGATTTCACTCTCTTTCGCCTTTCCTCTGTGCTTAGTATGTAGCCAAACCCGTAAACAATATAAATAAGGCAATTTCCGATAATTATACAGTACACTACGTTTAAAACGAACACGCTTATAACAAAATGACCGATACAACGAACTTATTTTTTAGTCCCGGCCATTTGTTGTATATATGCTGTAAATATGCTAATAGCGAACTACGGTTATTACGAAATACAATTAGTGGTAAATTTGAGTTCGTTATAAGCGTAGTTTAATATATTATATTTCAAACTATTTCCGACACGAAGCCATTTTCATCGGGCCGAACATGGTTCTTTTAAAATGTTCTCTTCATCTGGCAGAGCAATTATCCTCGTTGAAATAAGTTTAACAAACGTTCAAAATGAAACTCTTTATTGTCTTGTACATTAAGCCGCAGTCCATTAATTATGACAAGATAACCTGCGTTAGAAAACAAATTAGCAAAACAGAAAGCAACATAGTGCATACATTTTTCTAAAAGGCATAACTGAATTTTTCAGGTAATAAGCGACAAAACAGTTCCATGATGTTGAGACATCTCTGCTGAAGAAGCGTCTATTTTACGATTCCGACTATGCATAAACACGTGTTAATAAATATGCTTGTCGTAAAAGGCGACTAACGGGATCGGGTGGTCAGGTTCGCTGACTTGGTTGATGCATGTCATCGATCCCAAATGCGTGGATCGATGCTCATGATATCAATCACTGGATTGTCTGGTCCAGACTCGATTATTTACAGACCGCCGTCATATAGCTGGAATATTGCTGAGTGCGGCGTTAAACAAACAAATCAACAAATTTTGATGAATAAATCTTAAAATAGGGATAAAACTAGGTGTTCTCGAAACTGGCAGTGTTATCCTGCCCTACCGAAACCAAATCAAGAGGGAAGACTAAACAAAAATATATCTACAGTGAAACCATGTTAACTCGAACTTCTTTAAACTCAACATATTGTTAAGACGATGCATCATTATGAGTAAGTGTCTAATATCGTCACTCAGGCGGTCTTGAGCTTCGGATAAGTCGACACATTTTCCATGGCGGTCTTGAGCTTCGGATAAGTCGACACATTTTCCATGGCCCTAATGACACTCCTATAATAACGTGCCCTTTTCAGTGTCCAAAGAATACAACTAGTTTTATAAATATATTTGATTAAAAATATAATTGAGTTCCTAAACATTAACAAATAAAATGCTCATCGCAAACCAACGAACACTCCTTCGCCCCCTTCTCCCATCTAAAATCAAATGGTTGTTTCTTAAAGTATATTATTTTCAGGACACTCGGCTATGCAATTGTTGGCTCCTTCTGACGAGAACAAAAGTTGCAAAAGCCTGATCAATCCTTGGCCTTTTCGTTGACAACCACTATGTATTCCGATCAACGACCGTGGCATTTAATCTTCTATTATTCAGTGTTTTACATCTCCATTCCATTTGTATCAATGCCATGGACCCATTTGACACATAAGCACCCAACGCCCCTATCTCTGACTGGGTTCAGGGTGTTCATAATTATTTAAAACACGTAAGTTGCAGGACTATTGTTTAAACGACTCTTTATTTTTAACCTCGTCTAATTATATTTATCATCCAAAACTGGCTCGCACAGGAGATATCGCTTGGATGAGATCAAGCGATATCTACAGTGTAGATATCGCTGCAATGAAATTACATCACAATGCTTTGCAGACCATTGTGACGTCACTGGTTACCATGACGTCACAATCAAATGACATCACTAATTATATATAATATATAAGTAAATTTTTAAACCGTTGCGTTACATTATGTAAACTATAACGATGTTTATGTTAAAGCAGTCAGGTAAACGTTTGATGAGAAATATTAAGAATCATATAAACATAGATATCCTTGCTCCGGGTTCTCGATTCTTGCAACAGTTGCAGAGAACGTTTTCCACGTGCATCTCGCAAATTCGACTGACTCAGTATAAAGGCAAACTACACTTTTTGGTTTATTTTTCCATTTTTCAGCAAAAGAAAGTTTTGTCAAAGTCTTAAAGTAAGGATGCATCATAAGCCTGAGTGAGTTTTATGCCGCTTTTAGCAACATTCCAGCAATATTACGGCGGGGACACCAGAAATGGGCTTCACACATAATGTACCCATGTCGGGAATCGACCCCGGGTCTTCGGCGCAACGAGCGAACGCTTTAACAGCTAGGCTACCCGACCGCATCATCATCATCATCATCATCATCATCATCATCATCATAAGCTTGAGGAAGCAGGGATGTTTTTAAAGCTGCGGTACTCTACTAATCGTATCTTCTCCTTAGCAGAATGGAAATAGTCTTGATAATCAATGATGGTTCCTGTTGCCCTTTATTAATTATTATTAATCCTACAGCTAAGTAAAAGCCCACAATAACTGGTCATAACAGTACTGTGCACTCCCGGCGCACTTGAGCGCATGTTTTATCATGAACTATTTCCCCTTGTCGTCCCGGCTGCTCTCAGAGCTGTCTGTGGAGTAGTCATCATCAGAGTTAAGTCCCCTTGGTTTTGCTGAAACAGCAATAAAGGATCTATTGAAACACGTTGAGTAGTATAGACGCTGGAAATGATAAAACATAGTGCCATGGTACAGAAGCTCACCTGTTGATTACTCACAATTTTATGAGCGTTGATGTCAACACACTGTGAGGTGAGGTGAAATGGGGTTTAACGTCGCGTCCAAGATTATTGCACTTATATAGCGACGTGAATGCACGTGTGTTTGTGTGTGGCTGTTTGTACTAGTCCGGACTGATGCCGATTTATAGTGCTAGCTCACTGAGATACCATGCCGCAGTTTAACATGAATACCCCACTCAGACACAGTATTCTGACTCCGAGCCGACCAGTCCTTGTTTTAGCCCCTAAATGCCGAGCGCCAGACAGGGTAACAACAAGTGCCATCTTTTAACGTCTTTTGGTATGACGCGGTCGGGGATCGAACCCCGGGCCTTCCGCTCTCCGGGCGGACGCTCTACCACTAGACCACGGAGACGGTCCAACACACTGCGTCATGATTTCAGAGATAAAGTGACATGCCTTCCAGAGTGAGTGAGTGAGTTGGGTTTAACGCCGCTTTTAACCATTATTCCAGTTATATCGCGGCGTGTCAGCTTAATGTGGGAGGAAAGCCCGAAGTGATGCAGGTCTTAGACGTTTACCACTTTGGTGAAACCCTCGAGCACGGGTATGGTGCTGACAAACCTAGAAACATAATCGGGGCGAACCGGGATTCGAACCCACAATCATAGGTTTCTGGCGTGCCCAAGGGACGCAACTCTGCACAGCGAATCGCGGCGCCTTGGACGACTGGGCCACCCGAGCCCCCTCCTTCCAGAGGAAGTGATTGGGTTGGGTTTTAAGTTGCTTTGAACAGATATCATGGCGACATTCCCTTAAAAAAAAATGTCTGCTGTGAATATTCTGATCCTGAAAAAAATTCCGGGTCGCCCTTAGAATATTAATGAGTGAGTATGGTTTTACGCCGTTATTAGCATTATTCCAGCCATATCACGGCGGGGGATAACAGAAGTGGGCTTCACACATTGTACCTATGTGGGGAATCGAACCCGGGTCTTCGGTGTGACGAGCGAACGCTTTAACCACTAGGCTACCCGACCGTCCCCAAAAGAATATTAAATGGTTGGTCCCCTGAGAGAAGTGTTCCCTTAGAAAGACCCTGAGTACCCTGAGAAAGACCCTGAGTACATGGTCCTGGTGCGACAAATCGTCCCGAGGAATCAGCATTGTTTCACTAGTTGGTGTGCGGAAGGTCCGGGGTTCGATCCCCGGCCGCGTCATACCAAAAGACGTTAAAAGATGGTACTTGTTGTTACTCTGCCTGGCGCTCGGCATTAAGGGGCTAAAACAAGGACTGGTCGGCTCGGAGTAAGTATACTGTGTCTGAGTGGGATATTCATGTTAAACTGCGGCATGGTATCTCAGTGAGCTAGCACTATAAATCGGCATCAGTCCGGACTAGTACAAGCAGCCACTAAAACACACACATACATGCACGTCGCTATATAAGTGCAATAATCTTGGACGCGACGTTAAACCCCATTTCACCTCACCTCACTAGTTGGTGTAGCTGAACAATAGTTTCATTCACTCTTTTGTGCAGGCGTTTAGCAGGTGAGAGTTTGCCGGTAACACCGTAGCACCGATATGACCCGAACACCTAAATAGGCGGGCGATAACCACTCGGGTATCCAACAGCCCCTTAACACCATCCATATTTGGTATGGAGACTAGACATTTTGTCAGCTACAGCTGCAAAACCAGATACATTTTTAGTGAGTGAGTGAGTATGGTTTTACGCCGCTTTAAAACGAATTCATTTTATTATTTAGAGTGGTGAATAAGTGCTCTGAACCTTGCTCACAAAGACAGCATTGTGAGATGTTGCTGCGGATTAGAAATGGAGGAAACTGTTGGTTAAGGCCATGCTGGAAACGTGTCATATAACGGTCATATAAAAATAATTGTGATGGTATGGATGAAGATGAAGAAGACGACGATGATGAAGATGATGAGGGGATGATGAGGATGATGACGACGATGATGATGATGAGGATGATGAAGATGATGATGACGACGACGACGACGATGATGATGACGACGACGATGATGATGATGATGAGGATGATGAAGAAGACGATGAGGGGGATGAGGAGGATGACGATGAAGATGATGAGGATGATGAAGAGGAGGAATATGAGTGAGTGAGTGAGTATGGTTTTACAAAGTTTTAGCAATATTCAAGCAATATCACGGCGGGGGACACCAGAAATTGGCTTCACACATTGTATCCATGTCGGGAATTGAACCCGGGTCTTCGGCGTGACGAGCGAACGCTTTAACCAACAGACTGTTACGGGCCCTAAGTCTTATTCTACTTTACGAGATAAAAATGAAGACAAAAACTCACAAAATCTAGCTCCATCATTTCTTTGGTTTCCATCGCGACCGCTTTTGTTCTCAGAAACACTTCGCCTTTGCTTGTTCGCCGTCTTCTTCTTTTGGGACGGCGTGTTGGCTTTACTGTCTTCTCTCTGCTCCTCATCACTGCTTGAAGAGTCGCTGCTGCTCGAGGAGTCACTCCCGCTTGATGAGTCACTACTCTGTGAGGAGCTATCACGGTTGGCGTTGAGGTTAGCATTTACGTGGACGTTGACGTTAGCATTGCCATTGGCGTTGGCGTTGGTGTTGGCTTTGGCGTTTGCCTTTGCGTTGGTGTTGGCGTTAGCGTTGGCGTTGGCGTTGGCTTTGGCGTTTGCGTTTGCGTTTGCGTTGGTTTTACGTGCGTTTTCCCGATCGTTACCCTCTTTTTCTTGTCCTTTGTTGAGCGTTTCCTTCGTGCCTGTCGTATTTCTGGTGTCTGGTTCGGGTGAATTGTTTCTTTTCTTCTCGACGGCTGTCCAAGGTCGAGGACACCCTCCTTCTGGGTCACTATTCCGGTTCCTGGCGGGACCAGCTGTCCTACAAATGCAAACATCAGCGTTATACAGTAGTCACACAGTTACCGGGACCATCGAGTTACCCGCTGTGTCAATATATGCCAATAGGGACCACGTGGATACATCGTCTCTTTGATGTATCGAGTTACCCACTGTGTCAATATATGCCAATAGGGACCACGTGGATACATCGTCTCTTTGATGTATTGAGTTACCCACTGTGCCAATATATGCCAATAGGGACCACGTGGATACATCGTCTCTTTGATGTATCGAGTTACCCACTGTGTCAATATATGCCAATAGGGACCACGTGGATACATCGTCTCTTTGATGTATCGAGTTACCCGATGTGTCAATATATGCCAATAGGGACCAAGTGGATACATCGTCTCTTTGATGTATTGAGTTACCCACTGTGTCAATGTATGCCAATAGGGACCATGTGGATACATCGTCTCTTTGATGTATCGAGTTACCCACTGTGTCAATATATGCCAATAGGGACCACGTGGATACATCGTCTCTTTGATGTATTGAGTTACCCATTGTGCCAATATATGCCAATAGGGACCACGTGGATACATCGTCTCTTTGATGCATTGAGTTACACGCTGTGTCAATATATGCCAATAGGGACCATGTGGTTACATCGTCTCTTTGATGTATCGAGTTACCCACTGTGCCAATATATGCCAATGGGGACATCCACAATACATCGTCTCTTTGATGTATTGAGTTACCCGCTGTGTCAATATATGCCAATAAGGACCACGTGGATACATCGTCTCTTTGATGCATTGAGTTACACGCTGTGTCAATATATGCCAATAGGGACCACGTGGATACATCGTCTCTTTGATGTATTGAGTTACACACTGTGTCAGAATAAGCCAATAAGGACCACCACGATACATCGTCTCTTTGATGTATCGAGTTACACACTGTGTCAATATATGCCAATAGGGACCAAGTGGATACATCTTCTCTTTGATGAATTGAGTTACCCACTGTGTCAATATATGCCAATAGGGACCACGTGGATACATCGTCTCTTTGATGCATCGAGTTACCCACTGTGCCAATATATGCCAACAGGGACCACGTGGATACATCGTCTCTTTGATGTATCGAGTTACCCACTGTGTCAATATATGCCAATAGGGACAACGTGGATACATCGTCTCTTTGATGTATCGAGTCACCCACTGTGTCAATATATGCCAATAGGGACCACGTGGATACATCTTCTCTTTGATGTATCGAGTTACCCACTGTGTCAATATATGCCAATAGGGACCACGTGGATACATCGTCTCTTTGATGTATTGAGTTACCCACTGTGTCAATGTATGCCAATAGGGACCACGTGGATACATCGTCTCTTTGATGTATCGAGTTTCCCGATGTGCCAATATATGCCAATAGGGACCAAGTGGATACATCGTCTCTTTGATGTATCGAGTCACCCACTTAGTCAATATATGCCAATAGGGACCACGTGGATACATCGTCTCTTTGATGTATCGAGTTACCCGATGTGTCAATATATGCCAATAGGGACCAAGTGGATACATCGTCTCTTTGATGTATTGAGTTACCCACTGTGTCAATGTATGCCAATAGGGACCATGTGGATACATCGTCTCTTTGATGTATCGAGTTACCCACTGTGTCAATATATGCCAATAGGGACCACGTGGATACATCGTCTCTTTGATGTATTGAGTTACCCATTGTGCCAATATATGCCAATAGGGACCACGTGGATACATCGTCTCTTTGATGCATTGAGTTACACGCTGTGTCAATATATGCCAATAGGGACCATGTGGTTACATCGTCTCTTTGATGTATCGAGTTACCCACTGTGCCAATATATGCCAATGGGGACATCCACAATACATCGTCTCTTTGATGTATTGAGTCACCCGCTGTGTCAATATATGCCAATAAGGACCACGTGGATACATCGTCTCTTTGATGCATTGAGTTACACGCTGTGTCAATATATGCCAATAGGGACCACGTGGATACATCGTCTCTTTGATGTATTGAGTTACACACTGTGTCAGAATAAGCCAATAAGGACCACCACGATACATCGTCTCTTTGATGTATCGAGTTACACACTGTGTCAATATATGCCAATAGGGACCAAGTGGATACATCTTCTCTTTGATGAATTGAGTTACCCACTGTGTCAATATATGCCAATAGGGACCACGTGGATACATCGTCTCTTTGATGCATTGAGTTACCCACTGTGCCAATATATGCCAACAGGGACCACGTGGATACATCGTCTCTTTGATGTATCGAGTTACCCACTGTGTCAATATATGCCAATAGGGACCACGTGGATACATCGTCTCTTTGATGTATTGAGTTACCCACTGTGTCAATATATGCCAATAGGGACCACGTGGATACATCGTCTCTTTGATGTATTGAGTTACCCGCTGTGTCAGTATATGCCAATAGGGACCACGTGCATACATCGTCTCTTTGATGTATCGAGTCACCCACTGTGTCAATATATGCCAATAGGGACCACGTGGATACATCGTCTCTTTGATGTATCAAGTCACCCACTGTGTCAATATATGCCAATAAAGACCACGTGGATACATCGTCTCTTTGATGTATCGAGTTACCCACTGTGTCAATATATGCCAATAAGGACCACGTGGATACATCTTCTCTTTGATGTATCGAGTTACCCACTGTGTCAATATATGCCAATAGGGACCACGTGGATACATCGTCTCTTTGATGTATCGAGTCACCCACTGTGTCAATATATGCCAATAGGGACCACGTGGATACATCGTCTCTTTGATGTATCGAGTTACCCACTGTGTCAATATATGCCAATAGGGACCACGTGGATACATCGTCTCTTTGATGCATTGAGTTACACGCTGTGTCAATATATGCCAATAGGGACCATGTGGATACATCGTCTCTTTGATGCATTGAGTTACACGCTGTGTCAATATATGCCAATAGGGACCACGTGGATACATCGTCTCTTTGATGCATTGAGTTACAAGCTGTGTCAATATATGCCAATAGGGACCACGTGGATACATCGTCTCTATGATGTATTGAGTTACCCGCTGTGTCAATATATGCCAATAGGGACCACGTGGATACATCGTCTCTTTGATGTATCGAGTCACCCACTGTGTCAATATATGCCAATAGGGACCACGTGGATACATCGTCTCTTTGATGTATTGAGTTACCCACTGTGTCAATATATGCCAATAGGGACCACGTGGATACATCGTCTCTTTGATGTATTGAGTTACCCACTGTGTCAATGTATGCCAATAGGGACCACGTGGATACATCGTCTCTTTGATGTATTGAGTTTCCCGATGTGCCAATATATGCCAATAGGGACCACGTGGATACATCGTCTCTTTGATGTATCGAGTTACCCACTGTGTCAATATATGCCAATAAGGACCACGTGGATACATCGCCTCTTTGATGTATTGAGTTACCCATTGTGTCAATATATACCAATAGGGACCAGGTGGATACATCGTCTCTTTGATGTATCGAGTTACCCACTGTGTCAATATATGCCAATAGGGATCACGTGGATACATCGTCTCTTTGATGTATCGAGTCACCCACTGTGTCAATATATGCCAATAGGGACCACGTGGATACATCGTTTCTTTCATGTGTCAAGTCACCCACTGTGTCAATATATGCCAATAGGGACCACGTGGATACATCGTCTCTGTGATGTATTGAGTTACCCACTGTGTCAATATATGCCAATAGGGACCACGTGGATACATCGTCTCTTTGATGTATTGAGTTACCCACTGTGTCAATATATGCCAATAGGGACCACGTGGATACATCGTCTCTTTGATGTATTGAGTTACCCACTGTGTCAATATATGCCAATAGGGACCACGTGGATACATCGTCTCTTTGATGTATTGAGTTACCCACTGTGTCAATATATGCCAATAGGGACCACGTGGATACATCGTCTCTTTGATGTATTGAGTTACCAACTGTGTCAATATATGCCAATAGGGACCACGTAGATACATCGTCTCTTTGATGTATTGAGTTACCCACTGTGTCAATGTATGCCAATAGGGACCACGTGGATACATCGTCTCTTTGATGTATTGAGTTTCCCGATGTGTCAATATATGCCAATAGGGACCACGTGGATACATCGTCTCTTTGATGTATTGAGTTACCCACTGTGTCAATATATGCCAATAGGGACCACGTGGATACATCGTCTCTTTGATGTATTGAGTTACCCACTGTGTCAATATATGCCAATAGGGACCACTTGGATACATCGTCTCTTTGATGTATCGAGTTACCCACTGTGTCAATATATGCCAATAAGGACCACGTGGATACATCGTCTCTTTGATGTATTGAGTTACCCACTGTGTCAATGTATGCCAATAGGGACCACGTGGATACATCGTCTCTTTGATGTATTGAGTTTCCCGATGTGCCAATATATGCCAATAGGGACCACGTGGATACATCGTCTCTTTGATGTATCGAGTTACCCACTGTGTAAATATATGCTAATAAGGACCACGTGGATACATCGCCTCTTTGATGTATTGAGTTACCCATTGTGCCAATATATGCCAATAACGAACCACGTGGATACATCGTCTCTTTGATGTATTGAGTTACCCACTGTGTCAATAAATGCCAATAGGGACCACGTGGATACATCGTCTCTTTGATGTATTGAGTTACCCACTGTGTCAATATATGCCAATAGGGACCACGTGGATACATCGTCTCTTTGATGTATTGAGTTACCCACTGTGTCAATATATGCCAATAGGGACCACGTGGATACATCGTCTCTTTGATGTATTGAGTTACCCACTGTGTCAATATATGCCACTAGGGACCACGTGGATACATCGTCTCTTTGATGTATCGAGTTACCCACTGTGTCAATATATGCCAATAGGGACCACGTGGATACATCGTCTCTTTGATGTATCGAGTCACCCACTGTGTCAATATATGCCAATAGGGACCACGTGGATACATCTTCTCTTTGATGTATTGAGTTACCCACTGTGTCAATATATGCCAATAGGGACCACGTGGATACATCGTCTCTTTGATGTATTGAGTTACCCACTGTGTCAATATATGCCAATAGGGACCACGTGGATACATTGTGTCTTTGATGTATTGAGTTACCTACTGTGTCTATGTATGCCAATAGGGACCACGTGGATACATCGTCTCTTTGATGTATTGAGTTACCCACTTTGTCAATGTAAGCCAATAGGGACCACGTGGATACATCGTCTCTTTGATGTATTGAGTTTCCCGATGTGCCAATATATGCCAATAGGGACCACGTGGATACATCGTCTCTTTGATGTATCGAGTTACCCACTGTGTCAATATATGCCAATAAGGACCACGTGGATACATCGTCTCTTTGATGTATCGAGTCACCCACTGTGTCAATATATGCCAATAGGGACCACGTGGATACATCGTCTCTTTGATGTATTGAGTTACCCACTGTGTCAATATATGCCAATAGGGACCACGTGGATACATCGTCTCTTTGATGTATTGAGTTACCCACTGTGTCAATATATGCCAATAGGGACCACGTGGATACATCGTCTCTTTGATGTATTGAGTTACCCATTGTGTCAATATATGTCAATAGGGACCACGTGGATACATCGTCTCTTTGATGAATTGAGTCACCCATTGTGTCAATATATGCCAATAGGGACCACGTAGATACATCGTCTCTTTGATGTATTGAGTTACCCACTGTGTCAATGTATGCCAATAGGGACCACGTGGATACATCGTCTCTTTGATGTATTGGGTTTCCCGATGTGCCAATATATGCCAATAGGGACCACGTGGATACATCGTCTCTTTGATGTATCGAGTTACCCACTGTGTCAATATATGCCAATAAGGACCACGTGGATACATCGCCTCTTTGATGTATTGAGTTACCCACTGTGTCAATATATGCGAATAGGGACCACGTGGATACATCGTCTCTTTGATGTATTGAGTTACCCACTGTGTCAATATATGCCAATAGGGACCACGTGGATACATCGTCTCTTTGATGTATTGAGTTACCAACTGTGTCAATATATGCCAATAGGGACCACGTAGATACATCGTCTCTTTGATGTATTGAGTTACCCACTGTGTCAATGTATGCCAATAGGGACCACGTGGATACATCGTCTCTTTGATGTATTGAGTTTCCCGATGTGTCAATATATGCCAATAGGGACCACGTGGATACATCGTCTCTTTGATGTATTGAGTTACCCACTGTGTCAATATATGCCAATAGGGACTACGTGGATACATCGTCTCTTTGATGTATTGAGTTACCCACTGTGTCAATATATGCCAATAGGGACCACTTGGATACATCGTCTCTTTGATGTATCGAGTTACCCACTGTGTCAATATATGCCAATAGGGACCACGTGGATACATCGTCTCTTTGATGTATCGAGTTACCCACTGTGTCAATATATGCCAATAAGGACCACGTGGATACATCGTCTCTTTGATGTATTGAGTTACCCACTGTGTCAATGTATGCCAATAGGGACCACGTGGATACATCGTCTCTTTGATGTATTGAGTTTCCCGATGTGCCAATATATGCCAATAGGGACCACGTGGATACATCGTCTCTTTGATGTATCGAGTTACCCACTGTGTAAATATATGCTAATAAGGACCACGTGGATACATCGCCTCTTTGATGTATTGAGTTACCCATTGTGCCAATATATGCCAATAACGAACCACGTGGATACATCGTCTCTTTGATGTATTGAGTTACCCACTGTGTCAATAAATGCCAATAGGGACCACGTGGATACATCGTCTCTTTGATGTATTGAGTTACCCACTGTGTCAATATATGCCGATAGGGACCACGTGGATACATCGTCTCTTTGATGTATTGAGTTACCCACTGTGTCAATATATGCCAATAGGGACCACGTGGATACATCGTCTCTTTGATGTATTGAGTTACCCACTGTGTCAATATATGCCAATAGGGACCACGTGGATACATCGTCTCTTTGATGTATTGAGTTACCCACTGTGTCAATATATGCCAATAGGGACCACGTGGATACATCGTCTCTTTGATGTATTGAGTTACCCACTGTGTCAATATATGCCAATAGGGACCACGTGGATACATCGTCTCTTTGATGTATCGAGTTACCCACTGTGTCAATATATGCCAATAAGGACCACGTGGATACATCGTCTCTTTGATGTATCGAGTTACCCACTGTGTCAATATATGCCAATAGGGACCACGTGGATACATCGTCTCTTTGATGTATTGAGTTACCCACTGTGTCAATATATGCCAATAGGGACCACGTGGATACATCGTCTCTTTGATGTATTGAGTTACCCACTGTGTCAATATATGCCAATAGGGACCACGTGGATACATCGTCTCTTTGATGTATTGAGTTACCCACTGTGTCAATATATGCCAATAGGGACCACTTGGATACATCGTCTCTTTGATGTATCGAGTTACCCACTGTGTCAATATATGCCAATAGGGACCACGTGGATACATCGTCTCTTTGATGTATCGAGTTACCCACTGTGTCAATATATGCCAATAAGGACCACGTGGATACATCGTCTCTTTGATGTATTGAGTTACCCACTGTGTCAATGTATGCCAATAGGGACCACGTGGATACATCGTCTCTTTGATGTATTGAGTTTCCCGATGTGCCAATATATGCCAATAGGGACCACGTGGATACATCGTCTCTTTGATGTATCGAGTTACCCACTGTGTAAATATATGCTAATAAGGACCACGTGGATACATCGCCTCTTTGATGTATTGAGTTACCCATTGTGCCAATATATGCCAATAACGAACCACGTGGATACATCGTCTCTTTGATGTATTGAGTTACCCACTGTGTCAATAAATGCCAATAGGGACCACGTGGATACATCGTCTCTTTGATGTATTGAGTTACCCACTGTGTCAATATATGCCAACAGGGACCACGTGGATACATCGTCTCTTTGATGTATTGAGTTACCCACTGTGTCAATATATGCCAATAGGGACCACGTGGATACATCGTCTCTTTGATGTATTGAGTTACCCACTGTGTCAATATATGCCAATAGGGACCACGTGGATACATCGTCTCTTTGATGTATCGAGTTCCATTGTGCTTGTACTCATCTCGAGGTCACAGTACAACTTAATCCCTGGGTTAGAATGGAAAGCGGTTCTATGCCGCGTTAGGTATATTTCAGGGGACGCACATGTTCCACCCATGTCGGGAAGCGAACCTGGGATTTGGAGTGATCAGCTAATGCTTTATCCACTTGGCTGCCCATCGCACCCACAACAGAAATAGAAATCACACACATACATAAATGCAAATTCTGAAAGTGAGTAAGTAAGGATTTTACGCCGTTTTTAGCATTATTCCAGCAATATTCACGGCGAGGAACACCAGAAATGGGCTTCACACATTGTACCCATGTCGGGAATCGAACGCTGGTCTTTTGGCATGACGAGCGACGCTTTAACCACTAGGCTACCCGACCACATCGAGTGAAAGAGTGAGTGGGTGGTGGGGTGGGTGAGTGAGTGAGTGAGTGAGTGAGTGAGTGAGTGAGTGAGTGGGTAGGTGGGTGGGTGAGTGAGTGAGTGAGTGAGTGAGTGGGTGTATGGGTGGGTGGGTGTTGGGTGAGTGAGTGAGTGAGTGAGTGAGTGAGTGAGTGAGTGTATACTTACTTTGCCCTGGCTGGCCCCCGTACAATGGTGGGTAGTAACATCGTACACTTGGTGGAGGACCACTGGTACTGGGAGGACCCTGGGGACAGAAGGAGTTCAGTTGTACAGTACCAGGCAGGGGATCCCCTTGCTTCAAACATTATCTGGTGCCATCTAACTAAGACTACATCAAACATCAAAATACTTATTTTACATTTGCTTCTTTCATATAGTAAAGGCGCTAAATCATTCAGAGATTCATTGAATTTTATCAATGATAAACATTGAAAGAAGTCTTCCGGGATAGCTGTTATATTGCCAAATTCAAACTGTCGTGGTAGCTGTTATATTGCTAAATTCAAACTGCCGTGGTATAGCTGTTATATTGCTAAATACAAACTGTCGTGGTATAGCTGTTATATTGCTAAACACAAACTGTCGTGGTATAACTGTTATATTGCTAAATACAAACTGTCGTGGAATAACTGTTATATTGCTGAATACAAACTGCCGTGGTACAGTTGTTATATTGCTGAATACAAGTTGCGGTGGTATATATGTCATATTGCTTTATATGAGCTGTCGTGGTATATATGTTATATTTCTAAATATAAGCTGCCGTGGCGTGTGTCTGCTTGTACTAGTCAGTAAAAACGCCGGTTTTATAGTTCTTGCCCACTGAGATAACATGCCGCAGTTAACGGGATCGGGTGGTCAGGCTCGCTGACTTGGTTGATGCATATCATCATAGCCCAGTTGTGTAGATCGATGCTTATGAATGTCAATCACTAGATCATCTGGTCCAGACTCGATTTTATTCAAACTGTCGTCATATAGCTGGAATATTGCCGAGTTATACAACAAACCAACCAACAAACAAACCTCGCCGCGGTTGAACACAAATACCCCACTCATAGTATACTGACGCCGAGCCAACCAGCCCTTGTTTTAGCCTTTTAATGCCTAGTGCCAGGTAGGGTAATAACAAGTACCATCCTTTAACGTCTTTTGGTATGACGCGGCTGGAGATCGAACCACCGAAATTCCCCTCTCTTGACAGACGCTCTATCTACTGGACCACGGAGGCTAAAACCTTTGGAGAAACCCATGGACTCGAGTATGGTGCCGAAAGACCAATGACCATCTTCGGGGATTCGGATCCTGGCAGAGCTAAGGGAAGCAACCCTGCACAGCGAAAAGCGGCGTCTTAGACCACTGGGCCCGATAATCCCTATTGGGTCTGAATGATTGAAGATGGTTGAGGTGGTGTTTCTAAGATGATGATGATGATGATGATGATAATAATAATAATAATAATACATGATCATCATGATCAGCATCGTCGTCGTCGTCATCCTCATCACCATCATCATAATAAATCGTTTCATAGATTGCACACCTGTATACACCTGTAATCAGGTACTGTTGTAAACGCACTATTTCTATGTATCACTAAGAACACATAAGTCACAGTACTTGTACAACCTGGCCGCCAACGTTATACATTAACCCATTCACGTCGGTTTATCGTCTCTGCAGAACACACGGACATTAGATTCAAGTGTGTTGTTAGTCAACCTACTTTAGCCCACGTTTATTTGTGTTTATGATTTGGGGAATGGCAACACAAAGCCAATCACTACAGTTGGTACGTAAACAGTCCTACAGCTGTGTTGAGGCCGACGGGCCTAGGTGGGATAATAACACCGCTATCTGTAAGGCAATATTGAATAACCCGGATGACAAAAGACACCGCAGGACGCATTTCATAAGGCTACTTGAAAGGTAACCCCACGCAGTCAACAGTCCATTGAAGTGTGGGCAGAACATGCTGAACGAGTGCCGGCCGGTGTTGTAGATTGTTGTTACTGTCACGGGTTATCTGACTGTAGGAAGCCGAGTCATTTCAATATTTAAACAAATATGATCAAGCTTTACCCAACAGCATGCGACGAAACGTTCTACTTCTACAGCTGCTTCTGCTGACATCACTACAATCTACTACTACTACTGCTACTGCTACTACTGCTACTACTGCTGCTTCTGTTGACATCACTACAATCTACTACTACTACTACTACTACTGCTACTACTACTACTACTAATACTACTGCTGCTTCTGTTGACATCACTACAATCTACTACTACTACTGCTACTACTGCTACTACTAATACTACTACATGTACTACTACTACTACTGCTACTACTACGGCTACTGCTACTACTACTGCTGCTTCTGCTGACATCACTACAATCTACTACTGCTAATGCTACTGCTACTACTACTGCTACTACTACTACTACTACTGCTGTGAACTACTACTACTACTTCTACTTCTACTGCTACTACTACTCCTGCTGCTGCTACTACTACTACTACTGCTGCTGCTGCTACTACTGCTACTACTACTACTACTACTTCTATTACTACTGCTGTGAACTACTACTACTACTACTATAACTACTACTGCTACCTCCTGCTATAACTCCACCTCCTACTACAACTACTACTTGTACTACTACTACTACTACTACTACTACTACTACTACTACTACTACAACTACTACTACTACTACCACTACCATTACTATAATTTAACTACTACTACTACTACTACTACTACTACTACTACTACTTCTACTACTACTACTACTACTACTACAACTACTACTACTACTACTACTACCACTACTATTACTATAATTTTACTACTACTACTACTACTACTTCTACTACTACTACTACTTCTACTACTACTACTACTACTACTACAACTACTACTACTACTACCACTACTATTACTATAATTTAACTACTACTACTACTACTACTACTACTACTACTACTACCTACGTCCCCACACTCTTCACGCCTACTGATTGTGAGTCCCACAGAAACACCTCCAACTAAACGCCCAAACTGTGAGTGAGTGAGTGAATGAGTGAGTGAATGAGTGAGTGAGTGAATGAGTGAGTGAATGAGTGAGTGAATGAGTGAGTGAATGAGTGAGTGAATGAGTGAGTGAATGAGTGAGTTTGGTTAAACGCGGATTTCAACAGTCTTCCAGTTACTGTTTTGACGAAATCCCCAAGCTAGTGCTTACAAGACCAAGAATCAATATTTTGGCGAACCTGTGAAGCGAACTCACGAACATATAATCCTGGCATGCTCAGGGGAGATAACTCTGCTTATAAACAAGTCATTGTTAAAAGAGGCGGAAATGAGGAGTTGACACCTCACCTGGCCTTGGCCTCTCATGCATCCGTTTGTGGAGATTCAGGATGTTGTTTCCACAATACACTCTACCGGCGGAACACAGCCTCTTCTTTAGACGTTTGGAAATAACCCCGTCGTCTAGCTTCATGATATTCTGCAACGCCTCTGGGACGTCATAGACGTCAGGACGTCGTGCACGGGAGTGTTGCACAAAGGTCAAAGGTTGGTCGTCGAAGCTGACCAGGCAGGCCGTGTGGTGGTTGGTGTTGACGTTCCGGCTACCTGAAGTAAGTTGATAGGAAACACGTCAATAAAAACAGTCGTTATTCATTGGCTCTTAATTATGTTACAAAAATCAATCTATATTATTAATAACACTATGTTTTTAGCGGTGTGACAAATGTTCACTTATTTAACAACGTCGATAAAAAAATCCTCTAAAAACGTTTAGGAGAAACAGTTAATCCACATTAAACTGCAACCAAAAAGCGAAGAAATATCAGTCTAGAAACTACATATAACTTTATGTAAGGTTGCATATACGTGTATGATTTCATTCGATTCCAAACCACAGCGAAACTTAACGGTACGTCACAGTACATATTGTTGCCATTGACGTCGGCCTTGAACACGCCCCCCCCCCCCCCCCCCCCCTCTCCCTTTCTGCACACAGCTGTCAAAACTGCTATTATTCTCCAGAAGTAGTGAAGATGTTGTGCTGGAAATAGTGTCTATTTATACTGACAACATGTTCCTAACCACTAGTTTAATGTTGCCATGTCCATCATAAATGCCTTTCCCATCTATGAATGGAAAAACAGCAAACTGTGTAAATTTGTCAACAACAAAAAATTGTCTTGGAAAGTGTTTGATAAAATAATTATATATCATACTGTTAATAAAAATAAAAACAAGATAGGTCGATTACTGCTGAGTGCGACGTTAAACAATATTCACTTGCCCTTTACACAAATCCGTTAGAACCGTGAAGGTCCGGGGTAGAACAGGTCTTCAGCAAGTCATGCTTGCTGTAAAAGGCGATTAAGGGGATCGGGTGATCAGACTCGTTGACTTGGTTGATGCATGTCATCGTATCCCAATTGCGTAGACTGATGCTCACGTTATCAATCACTGGGTTGTCTGGTCCAGACTTGATTATTTACAGACCGCCGTCATATAGCTGGAATAGTGCTGAGTGCGGCGTTAATCAACAACAATCAAACAAACAAACAAACACAAATTCGTTAGCTTGAGTCGTTCATTCGAAACTACGTTAATCCGAGCGCGACAAGAGCGTCATTAAGACCTCACTCACTCGAGTGCCGCTGTATTTGTGACTCCACTTACTGTGGGGCGCCTCCTGGTCTGTGTGGTGGGATGTCACTGGCCGCGATGTCGTGCGTCTGGATGAGCTGCCGTTCTCTGAAACAGATGTCAACGTGTGAGTGAGTGAGTATGGTTTTACGCCACGTTTAGTAATATTCCAGCAACGTCACTGCGGGGGACACCAGTGTGCCCACACGCTGTACACATGGGAGGAATCGGGCGAACCCGGGCCTCAGGCGGTGACGAGTGAACGGTTTAACGACTAAGCTACCCTACTGCCTCGGTAATGAGTGAGTGAGTGAGTTTGGTTTAACGCCGCTTTTAACAGTATTCCAGTTATATCACGGCGTGTCAGCTTAATGTGGGAGGAAAGCCCGAAGTGATGCAGGTCTTAGACGTTTACCACTTCGGTGAAACCCACGAGCACGGGAATGGTGCTGACAAACCTAGAAACATAATCGGGCCGAACCGGGATTCGAACCCACAATCATAGGTTTCTGGCGTGCCCAAGGGACGCAACTCTGCACAGCGAATCGCGGCGCCTTAGACGACTGGGCCATCGGAGCCCCCTGCTGCCTCAGTATTAAGACAGGGGAAGGGATATCCTATATGTACTAGGGTTTACCCCCTGTATTTGAGACAACATCTTGGATTCAATCATGAAATAACAATGTAATGTGATTGGAAACTTATTGTTGCGTCATCTGATTCCAGCGGCCTTCAACATGAGTGAGTGAGTATGGTTTTACGCCGCTTTTAGCAATATTCCAGCAATATAAACGGGCTCCACACATTGTACCTATGTCTGGAATCGAACCCGGGCCTTCGGCGTGACGATCGAACGCTTTGGCCACTAGGCTACCCCACTGCCATCCTCATCATGAAGGGATGATGGTGGGTGGGTCCAGGATAGATTGCATAACATGAGTGAGTGAGTGAGTGAGTGAGTGAGTGAGTGAACGAATCTTCGGCTGCGAATTAGTAAATTATACACTTGATAATCGAGAATCGATACAGCTGGCACATTGCTGACTGCGGCGTTAAACAACATTCATTTGCTTAATCTTCCCTTGAAGATTCGGGGTAGAATAGGTCTTCAGCAGCCCATGCTTGCCGTAAAAGGCGACTATGCTTGTCGTAAGAGGTGACTAACGGGATCGGGTGGTCAGGCTCGCTGAAAGGGTTGATGCATGTCACCGATCCCAATTTCATTGATCGATGCTCATGATGTCAATCACTGGATTGTCTGATCCAGACTCGATTATTTACAGACCGCCGTCATATAGCTGGAATAGTTCTTAGTGCGGCGTTAAACAACACACAAACCAACAAACATTTGCTTAATCCTTTGCCATGATTCGTTTATTCTAAAAACATAATCTGGACTTTATCAGTGTTGCCCATTTAAACAGATTTACTCTCGAGGGAGGCGTGATGGCCCAGTAGTCGAAGGCGTCGCAATTCGCTGTGCAGAGTTGCGTCCCTTGGGCACGCCAGGCACCTATGAACGTGAGTTCGAATCCCGGTTTATCCCGATCATGTTTCTAGGTTTGTCAGCACCATACCCGTGTTCATGGGTTTCATCAAAGTGGTAAACGTCTGAGACCTTCATTACTTCGGACTTTCCTCCCACATCAACCTGACACACCCTGATATACCTGGAATACTGTTAAAAGCGGCCTGTAGTTAGGAGAACACTTACTTCGGGGTGGATGCTGCGGGTGTGTGTTGTATGACGTCTCAGGTCGCGGTGCCGCCTGTCTCGAATAATCGTCATACCCTGAAACAGATGTCAGTGTGTGAGGCGAGGTGAGGTGAGGTGAAATGGGGTTTAACGTCACTGAGATACAATGCCGCAGTTTAACATGAATACTCCACTCAGACACAGTATACTGACTCCGCGCCGACCAGTCCTCGTTTTAGCCCCTTAATGCCCAGCGCCAGATAGGGTAACAACAAGTACCATCTTTTAACGTCTTTTGGTATGACGCGGTTAGGGATCGAACCCGGGACCTTCCGCTCTCCGGGCGGACGTTCTACCACTAGACCACGGAGGCGGTCTCAGTCAGTGTGTGAACAACAAATGATGTGGGATTCTTCGTACCTCATTGTCTTCAATTCTTCAACCCCGTGGAGACATGGGACAGATTGAGTCCCAAGACTGTTTTGATTCAGTGAGTGAGTATGCTTTTACGCCGCTTTTAGAAATATTCTAGCAATATCACGGCGGGGGACACCGGAAATGGGCTTCACACATTGTCCGTATGTGGGGAACTAAACCCGGGCCTTCGCCGTGACGAGCGAACACTTTAACAACTAGGCGACCTTATCGCCCCAGCACTCTATTGCCTGTCGTAAAAGGCGAATAAATGTGATCTGGCTGTCATGCTCGGGAATTGGGAGAAGGTGTCCTAAGTTAGAGAACTTGTACCCAAATCCCATTCACTTTTTGTAAATATATGTTTTAATCGAATCAAATCAATTGATTGATTTGCCATCGATCCCCAACGGCTTGGTACGTTGCTCATAATATTAACCACTGGTATTACCAATTCTAGCTGGGATATTGCTAAATGCCGCTTTCCATACAAACAAACAAACAAACAAACACACACACACACACACACACACACACACACACACACACACACACACACACACACACACACATACACATACACGCACGCGATATAGCTTGAATATTTATTGATGACTACGCTGTAAAACAACCATTCACTCCAAAATACATCTGTCTTTTCTGTCACGTGCCCTTACCGCCACGAGAACGTTGTCTGGAGGTGTGGTGCGTGGTCTTGGGCCGAGAAGTGGTCAGTCTCCCATAGGTCGCCATGACGTCATACCCCGCGCGGAGTCCCTCTTTAAAGAGAAACAAATACGAAAATAAAGAGCAAGCTGCAGAGTTTATCTTCTCAATTCCTAAATAACTTCAAAACCAGTGAAGATCCGGGTTGGAACTGATCTTCAGCAACCCATGCTTGTCCCCACGTGAAGATCCAGGTTAGAAATGGTCTTCAGCAACCGATGCTAGTCGAAAGAGGAGACTTGTTTCACGTAAGTCACCGTATCCCAATTGCGTACATCAATGCTAATTATGTCAATAGCTGGACTGTCCGGTCCAGACTCGAATATTTACAGACCGCCGTCATAGAGCTTAAATATTGCTAACTGTGGCGTTAAACAACCCCCCCCCCCAAAAAAAAAAAAAAACACCAAAAAAACCCCCCAAAAACCCAAAACCAAACAAACAAAACAAAACAAAACAAAAACAAACAACAACAACAAAAACCCGATACCTTCATAAAACACGTAGTTATTTCCAACGAGTTTAATTCCAAGTACGCGTTTGGGCATATTGGCAACCACTTAAGGCGACATTAATAAATTAACGAAAATGTGTACATTAGCCCTTTTTTGTTTTGTTTATTGCTGTTTATTACCAGCCGCCAGGGTATATTACTTTGACTTTATGGATAATGTTGAGTTGACACGAGTGCGTGGGAACATTGCAGCGCCATGTTGTTTCTATACCTTGCTCAAGAAACAGCTAAGTGGCTGAGAGAGTGTTTTTTAGTCAGTATTTTTTTAGTGTTTAGTGGCAAGCTCAGCCAGACCCTGTTGAAGCCTGGCCCATGTGACATGATTTAGAGTTTCATTTGCCGGAACAGGAAATAGTCACTGGGGGTTAAGTCTGGGCTGTAGGGTGGGTGATTTAACTGTTCGAATCCACATTCACATATGGCGGCCTGTGCAAATCGCGACTTGTGAACCGGAGCGTTGACATGAAACCTGTCCTACGTGGAAGACGCCTCCAGGATGACGAGGACATAAAGGCTGCCACAGAGGCGTGGTTAGAGGGTCAATCTGCGGATTTCTATAAAAGTGGTATTAAAAGCTTGGAGGACAAATGGAATAAGTGTATTAAGGTGAATGGAGATTATATTGAAAAATAAAAGTGAAAATATATTCTGCTACTTGGTCTTATACTGAAGTTGCAAAACTTATTGAACGCCCCTCGTACCATGCCGCAGTTAAACATGGATTCCCCCACAGGAGAAAAGACTCCAAGCCGACCGGTCCTTGTTCTGTCCCCTTACTGCCGACCGCAGGGCAACAACGGGTACCATCTGTTAACCTCTTTTGGTTGTACCTAGTGCTGGTATTAACACATTGTCTTTGACTAATAGGGCAATAGTAAAATACTGGAGAATATACATCATAACATTAGAGTCCGCAGGGTAGGATAGTATCTGGTCCAGACTCGATTATATTCAGACCGCCGCCGTATAGATGGAATATTGCGACATTAAACAACAAACAAACAAACAAAAACACAAACAGCAGGCTAGGGAAAGTGGGTTTTTGCTGGGCTGCTAATAAGTTAAAAAAATGGTCACTTAATAATGCATGATTGAGTAAATGATGCAAGACGCGGCAGTCAACGATACAACAGCCAGCTTTGATCTCTGCATGCTATGTTGGAGACGGAGAACATTTATTCACGATATATTCCCTGGGTGTTATTACATGGGTATAATCGAATAATGTTTTTGTTCACGACATCCATTTGGTAACGATTAATATATTTCAGTAACGTAAAATTCCACAAATTCGATTCTAATAGTCCTCACTGTGTGATAAGTTATTGACATACACATTTCATTGACCTTTGTGGTACATTTGACGACTAACGAATCTTATACACCATGTTGTAATATATATTGCAATATATCACATAGGAAAGAGTGAAGGTTATGAAACAAGGAGAATAACGTATACATACATAGTCAAGCTGGCGATCCGAGGTAGTTATTTCAATCAATCAAGCTCAAACGATGTCAATAGCATGTCGATTTCAAATCAGTCGTTACAACAAACTAACAGTATACAGATATATCAGTATTTCGTTAGTCAATAGAGCATTAACCACTTCACCGCTTACTCCGTAGCAGGACAAAACAGCCTACACAGTGATCATATCAGTTTTTCAATGGTGTATCGTCAAGTGTATTAACCTTACGCTGGGATTTGTATAGCGCCGGCTTTAGGCCCGCTTGTGCGTGGTCTTATAAATACCGTATTGTCCCAGTCAGTATCGGGGCGATCAGTATATCACTGCGACACCTCGGGCGGAACACGTCAGGGATATGATACTTGTTCTATATCAGGCCACAACAAACTGATTTGCGTGCGTCATATTGTTTTCTGTCCAAAATAGTGGATGATTCTTTGATCTTTTTTGACACATTTCTAAAGATTGATATAAACTTTTATCATACCGCCATGTCAGAATGACGAGATCTGATTGGCCCACGTGATCTTGATAAAGTACTTTATCATATCTCCATGTCAGAATGATGAGATCTGATTGGCCCACGTGATCTTGATAAACTAGCGTATAACCCGCCTTGGAGGGCAATACATTTCTGAGCGGGGAAAAAATCTCTTATACCCCCCGCCAAGAATACTACAGGCTGCGCTCGTATTTCTGAGAGACAAAATATATTCTTCATACCCCGCTTCAAAGCAAAAAGCCGCTTTACTCGGGAAACATACGTATGTTGAACATTGATAGTTTGAACAGCTTTACTCAGGAAACATACGTATGTTGAACATTGATAGTTCGAACAACTTTACTCAGGAAACATACGTATGTTGAACATTGATAGTTCGAACAGCTTTACTCCGGAAACATACGTATGTTGGACATTGATAGTTCGAACAACTTTACTCAGGAAACATACGTATGTTGGACATTGATAGTTCGAACAACTTTACTCAGGAAACATACGTATGTTGGACATTGATAGTTCGAACAACTTTACTCCGGAAACATACGTATGTTGGACATTGATAGTTCGAACAACTTTACTCAGGAAACATACGTATGTTGGACATTGATAGTTCGAACAACTTTACTCAGGAAACATACGTATGTTGGACATTGATAGTTCGAACAGCTTTACTCCGGAAACATACGTATGTTGGACATTGATAGTTCGAACAACTTTACTCCGGAAACATACGTATGTTGGACATTGATAGTTCGAACAACTTTACTCAGGAAACATACGTATGTTGGACATTGATAGTTCGAACAACTTTACTCAGGAAACATACGTATGTTGGACATTGATAGTTCGAACAGCTTTACTCCGGAAACATACGTATGTTGGACATTGATAGTTCGAACAACTTTACTCAGGAAACATACGTATGTTGGACATTGATAGTTCGAACAGCTTTACTCCGGAAACATACGTATGTTGGACATTGATAGTTCGAACAGCTTTACTCCGGAAACATACGTATGTTGGACATTGATAGTTCGAACAACTTTACTCAGGAAACATACGTATGTTGGACTTTGATAGTTCGAACAGCTTTACTCCGGAAACATACGTATGTTGGACATTGATAGTTCGAACAACTTTACTCAGGAAACATACGTATGTTGGACATTGATAGTTCGAACAGCTTTACTCCGGAAACATACGTATGTTGGACATTGATAGTTCGAACAACTTTACTCAGGAAACATACGTATGTTGGACATTGATAGTTCGAACAACTTTACTCCGGAAACATACGTATGTTGGACATTGATAGTTCGAACAGCTTTACTCCAGAAACATACATAAGTTGAACATTGATAGTTTGAACAACTTTACTCCAGAAACATATGTATAGTTGAACATTGATAGTTCGAACAACTTTACTCCAGAAACATATGTATAGTTGAACATTGATAGTTCGAACAGCTTTACTCCAGAAACATATGTAAAGTTGAACATTGATAGTTCGAACAACTTTACTCAGGAAACATACGTATGTTGAACATTGATAGTTCGAACAGCTTTACTCAGGAAACATACATAAGTTGAACATTGATAGTTCGAACAACTTTACTCCAGAAACATATGTATAGTTGAACATTGATAGTTCGAACAGCTTTACTCCAGAAACATATGTAAAGTTGAACATTGATAGTTCGAACAACTTTACTCCGGAAACATATCTATAGTTGAACATTGATAGTTCGAACAGCTTTACTCCAGAAACATATGTATAGTTGAACATTGATAGTTCGAACAGCTTTACTCCGGAAACATATGTAAAGTTGAACATTGATAGTTCGAACAGCTTTACTCCGGAAACATATGTATAGTTGAACATTGATAGTCCGAACAGCTTTACTCCGGAAACATATGTATAGTTGAACATTGATAGTTCGAACAGCTTTACTCCGGAAACATATGTAAAGTTGAACATTGATAGTTCGAACAGCTTTACTCCGGAAACATATGTATAGTTGAACATTGATAGTCCGAACAGCTTTACTCCAGAAACATATGTATAGTTGAACATTGATAGTTCGAACAGCTTTACTCCGGAAACATATGTATAGTTGAACATTGATAGTCCGAACAGCTTTACTCCGGAAACATATCTATAGTTGATCTTTGATCGTTTCAACAGTTTACTCCGGAAACATATGTATAGTTGAACATTGATAGTTCGAACAGCTTTACTCCGGAAACATATGAAGATTACTGCGGAGAAACAATTTTAACTTCAATAAATCAAATAACAAGACTGTTAACATGATTCCGAACGGATGTACATTGATTACGAAATATATCTAAGACTGTTGGTTGCAATAACAAATTCGCTCTGATTGTGTTTCGGGGTATCTCAGCCCAATATACGTGCTCGTGAGTTTTAAACGTCAAAGACCTAAGTGACTTCGGAGTTTCCTCCCACGTAAATCTGACACACTTTGATAAAACGGAAATATTGCTCAAAGCGTCGACAACCAAACTCACTCCCCCACTCCCCCACGCTGCTTTGAATAATATTCCAGCTTTATAACGGCGTGTCAGCTTGATATAGGAGGAAAGCCCGACGTGATGTACTTCTTAGACATTTACCACTTCGGTGAAACCCACGAGCATGGGTATGGTGCTGACAAACCTTGAAAAATAAGCGGGATGAACCGGGATTCGAACTCACAATCAGAGGTTTGTGGCGTGCCCAAGGGATGCAACTCTGCACAGCGAATTGCAGCACCTCAGACGACTGGGCCACCACGGTGAAGTTTGTTGAAGTGGGTTTAACGCCACACTGATAAAGTCCGGATTATGTTTTTTGAATAAAGGAATCATGCAAGGGATTAAGTAAATGGATGTTGTTTAACGCCACAGTCAGCAAGGTACCGGGTATATCCCAATCTCGATTATCAAGTGTATCGTTTAGCCATTCGCAACCATGGATTTGTTTAACACTCACTCACTCACTCACTCACTCACTCACGCACTCACTCACTCACTCATTCACCCACCCACCCACTCACTCACTCACTCACTCACTCACTCACTCACTCACTCACTCACTCACTCACCCACCCACCCACCCACCCACTCACTCACTCACTCACTCACTCACTCACTCACTCACCCACCCACCCACCCACCCACTCACTCACTCACTCACTCACTCACTCACTCACGCACGCACGCACGCACGCACGCACGCACGCACGCACGCACGCACGCACGCAGGCAGGTGTGTAAGTCATGAACAGATTCCCCGTGTTGAGGAAGTTTATATTTTCCGCGCTCTGACTTTCATTAATCCGAGAGAGGTAATTCATTGCCAACAAGTAAAGTTGATGCCTTGTCACCTTATACGTGGTAATATATACATAAACACTGTCTTCCGCTTGACTTTGACATACTAAGCGGTTGACACAAAAGTTTGACCAAACGTAGTGTTTAAACAATACATATTTATAAAACTCTTCGTGGCATTTAGATGTTGCAGTATGAATGCAGTATTGCCACGCATACTAATTTCTTATAACTAAAATACAACAATCTCACAAGGAAAAGCGACCGCCTCCGTGATCAAGTGGTAGAAAGTTCGCCCGGAGAGCGGAAGGTCCGGGGTTCGATCCCGGCCGCGTCATACCAAAAGACGTTAAAAGATGGTACTTGTTGTTACCCTGTCTGGCGCTCGGCATTAAGGGGCTAAAACATGGACTGGTCGGCTCGGAGTCAGTATACTGTGTCTGAGTGGGGTATTCATGTTAAACTGTGGCATGGTATCTCAGTGAGCTAGCACTGTAAATGGCCATCAGTCCGGACTAGTACAAGCAGCCACACAAACACACACACGTACATGCACGTCGCTATACAAGTGCAATAATCTTGGACGAGACGTTAAACCCCATTTCACCAGCTCACCTCACAAGGACAAGCACATATTACATGCTGGGGCACGGGTGTCCTTTGGGCGTGCCAGAAAAGTATGATCGTGGGTTCGAATCCCTGGTTCGATCAACGATCCACGCCTCTGAGGTACGATGACACGCAATAAACCGAATCAGATCCGAGTTAGAATTGTTCTTCAGCAACCCACACTCGCCCCGTGAAGATCCAGGTTGGAATTTGTCTTCAGCAACACATGCTTGTCGTAACAGGCGACTAACGGGATCGGGTGGTCAGGCTCGCTGACTTGGTTGATGCATATCATCGTATCCCAATTGCGTGGATTGATGCTCGTGATGTCAATCACTGGGTTGTCTGGTCTAGCTCGATTATTTACAGACCGCCGTCATATAGCTGGAATATTGCTGACTGGGGCGTTAAAAAAAAGACAACCAACCAATAAACCGAGTCACCGAGGCTGATATGCGAACCAATGTAACCGCCAATGTAAGGGATCTATTAAAACTCAGGAACCGATTAGAAGATTTTGTGGTGGTTGAAATGTGTGGCATTGTTCTGTGCGTACAGTCGGAAACCGACCGCGTAGATCGTTGTTCAATCACATCTGCGTGATCAAGGCGAATAAGGAAGAATATTGCGGACACGATTCACCAAATTAATCAATGTACACATGAGATAGACCCCGCTGGTCGACCAGACAACATTGCATG